AAAAAAAAAGAAGTAGAATCAAAAGATCTGTTTTCTTTCTGGGGTGTATACGGTGCTCAGGTTGGTTCTTTAAACAATATCATACATTTTAAAGCATCATGTATCACGAGCAATAATGAGACATGATCCGTTTCATGTCATCATCATCATCATCTCAAACAGGTTACTCACTCCCCATTCATACTTGGATTTGTCCACGGGGGGCTGATTAACTATTTTTATAACCGTTTTCTTTTGATATTTTACCCCTTTTTGATAAAGTGATTTTTTTCCAGGAATGCTTTGTATTGATTTATCTAGACCATATTCTCCCTGTGATTCAGGTAACGAGACCAAACTTGCATCCATTCTGGGAGCTCTTTCAGTGTCTGGTCAGCTAGTTTGGACTGTTTTTAAGAAACTTGTTTTTTTTGTATTATTTGACATTTCTGTCCTGCTGTATTGTGTTAAATTAATGTGGATGTATAAAGACTGATTAAAGTGATTTGTTTTGAGGATACAGAGTTTAAATATACTGTGGGTTTAAAATCTTTTGTGTGTGTTTCCTTTTTTCATTTATTGGAGAAAGCTAGATAATACGTTTTAGAGGGGAGGGGGGAAGTAATAATTTCATTCATAGGCAGTTGCATCGCCAAACTAGCACGAATTTACCTAAACACTAGAGGGCGCTGCAGGACAACAGTTACAATTGGTTGCTGGTCTCGTCACTTTTTGCATTATTTCAATACGTAAAATGATCAAAACTGTAAATAATTGCAATTTAATCCTTTTTAAAAAATGATAGAATCTTAAACAAAAACACTCAGTAACTGGAAACAGGTTAAAATGTCGACATTCACATACACCAGTCTTGTGTCTTAATGTAATGGCACACGGTCACAGACCAATAAACACACTCTTGAGGGATTTGTCAGCCCAATTTAGCTTCTTGTCAACGTTGTCATCGACTGTGTTCCGTCTGTCTCGGGTTGCATCTTTAAGACGGAGGCCGCATGTCACCGACACTGAAAGCCTTACTGATTAATAACATAAAAACAATCCCTCTTCGAGAGTTTGAACTGTGTTAATGAAGAAATATCGGCCTGCTGACCGTGTTAATGAATGGATCTGTCATTCAAATGCACCCTCTGCATTTCCTCAGACTGTTTTCCAGTCAGTGGCTCTAGTGAAAAATATGTATTACGACTGGATTAGCATTTAAAATTCTGGATTAAAAACTGTTAAATGTTTTATTTCCACATTCAAACACATGGTTTATCAAATTTTGGACAATACGTTTATGTGAGAACAATGAAAGAAATAGGACAAAGACACAGCTGCTAAATTTGAACATGGAGCAGGCCATGCACGGTTATTTTGACACCTCGGCCATGATGGCATGTCTAGGCCTCATTTCAAACAGTTCACCCTCTCAAACCTGCCACTGGAGAAAATTCCAGAACAAAGCCATGCAGGCCAGCCATGCTTTCTGCTCTCACCGATAATACCACTGAGTTGACGCTTCCAGATAGGCTTTGTTACATTAATACCAGCAGCCTGTTGATGCTGGGACATACTTTGGACCACGTGAGTGCCTAAAGAATGCATGTGATAGCCGTGCCATCGCAGAGAGTGCGTCATCGTGATGTATGGAAACTTAGAGGAGACACCTGTCTGTCTGCCACTCTCAGTGTGACTGTGGTTTCTCAGGTGGTTAATTGCGTTTGCACGAGTGACGCATTTTGACGTGTCGTAGTTCTAAGAAATCTCTCGAAATTAGGAGAGAAATGCAACCAAAGAATGGAAATATTATTTGTGTGTTGGAATAAACCAACTTCCTAAAATGTGGGTGCAAACGAGTTATATATTACTTTAAATGAAAACCAGACAATAAGCATCAACAAAACTCTTAGCTTTATTTAGCATGTTTTGCATAACATCACATGTGGAAAGAAAATACTGAGTCACTAGGCCCTACAGCATAGATCTTAAATACAACATGAAATGAAACTAAATGAACACAAGCAATAAAGAAAAGCAAATCACACCTAAGCACAGACCGTGGGATGTGAGTGAGAAATGGGGAGCACAAGCAAATGAAGAAAACCGCTGAAAGATTTCTTTGCTCTGTCATTTGATCACGGACATGTCATGGGATCAGTTTCAGAACAGAAGACAGAAAGAGGACAAGTGTCACAGTTTCTCCAAACCCATTACATCTCTCTCATTTCTTGATGTCTTCTTTTGTGACTTGAGCTGCGATGAAGTGAAAGAACCATTATTAGATTGCATCCTGCATTTGCAAATGGGGGAAAAGGCTACTTCTGTAGAATTATCTAAAGTTACCTTCAGTGACGTTCAAAATAATTCATTATACATCTGAGTGACCTACAACAAACTTGCATGCATTTCAAAGCTACACCTCTGAAATGGATAAACCCATTTTGTTAATTTTGGTCATGCAACTTTGAGTTATGAATATCACATTTTATGTTCCTTTGAAATTATTTATTCTTTAAAAACATTTAGATAGAAGTGGATAATCCCAGATCTCCTATGTTATAGCCTATCATACATGAATTAGTACACCTGCTGAAATAGTTTAGATATACGCTACCATTCAAAAGTTTGGGGTCAGTAAGTTTTTTTCTCTCTTTAAGAAATGAATATTTTAACAATTATTATTCAACAAGGATGCATTACACTGATCAAAAGTGATAGTAAATATTACAAAAGTTTTTTTTTTTTCGAAGAATCAAAAAAAAATTGTTACCACAAAAATATTAAGCAGGACAACTGTTTTTAACATTGATAATAATAAAAAAGATTTATTGAGAACCAAATCAGCATAAAAAAATTATTTCTTAAAGATCACGTGCTGCTAAATTCAGCTTTGCCATCACATTAATAAATTACATTTTAAAATCTATTAAAATAGAAATCGTCTCGGGTTACTTATGTAACCATGGTTCCCTGAGTAGGGAACGAGACACTGCGTCCTCTAGGTTTCCCCATAGCGACCCCTAGAGGACACAGTTCGAAGTTCCCATGAAAGGGAACGTCTCGGGTTACTTATGTAACCATGGTTCCCTGAGTAGGGAACAAGACACTGCGTCCTCTAGGGGTCGCTATGGGGAAACCTAGAGGACACAGTTCGAAGTTCCCATGAAAGGGAACAATTATTTTAATTTATAATAACATTTCACAACTGTTTTGTTTTTACTGTATAAAAGATGCCTTTCAAATTATGAAAAATCTTACTGACCCCAAATTATTTGAATAGTAGAGTGCTTTAAACTTATGTGCAAAACTGGTGGCTCAGAGACCAAGGGTGCATCTCATTTTTTTGTTAACTCTCCATCCTTGTGTCCTTTTCTCACATCTTTTCCAGGAGTCTAAGCTCACAAGACACAAGGGAAAGATGCAAGAAGGAATTAAAGTATTAACTAAACTAAAAGTAACAGACTGAAAATTGCAAACTTCTTCATAAGATGTGAACCTGTGCATCCTTGCTCCTCTGAAAGCTTCCTCTCTCCTCACAGTGCTTTTAGAGAATTGATTTGTCCTTCATGATGGCAGAGTTCGATCGATTTCGGTATTGAGAAGCACCCAGACATGCTGGACTTGAGACAGAGGAGTGCTTTGTTAAAGAAAGTACAGGCAGTGTGGGTGTGATGACAACACATGCTTACCTTGGACACATTTCACACAGAGCAAACCTGAGCTTACTGTTTAGCTGAATGTTGAGGGAAACAGGAAGTAAGGAGGAAGTATTAAAGTGTGACACACAGAAGAAATCATGGATCACTGGATAGAGATCCATTTTGGAACTTCAGACACACTTCTAGGTCAAATCCAACAGTTATTAACCAAAATGAAATTTTCACATTTATGCCAAGACATGTTATCCATGTTTCTTTGTTTTGTTTGAAGTAAAAGTGTAGTTCTAGACTTTTTTCTACTCATTTCAGAGTTATAAAATAAAATGTTAATACAGAAAGAAGCATGGATGGATTTTGATCTATATGTCTCAGCATATATCTTTCATTTTATCATAACATAAGAGTGTTCTCTTACGTTCAGGGGTCATTCAGGTAAGTTTCATTCATATAGGACTCCACTGATTATGGTCCCTCATGCAACATTTAAAGGCATGGTTGACCCAAATATAAAACTTCTGTCAAGTTTATTTCTTCTGTTGAACACAATAAATTATTTTTAAAATTGTGGCTAACCAAACAGTTGCTGGTCCCCATTGGCTTTCATAGTATAGAAAAAAATGCTATAGAAGTAAATGGAGACCAGCAACTGTTTGCTTACCAACATTCTTTAAAATATCTTCTTTTGTGTTCAACAGAAGAAAAACCAAACAGTTGCTGGTCCCCATTGACCTTCATAGTATAGAATAAATGCTCTATAGCTAAATGGGGGACCATTCATTTGCTTACCAACATTCTTCAAAATATCTTCTATTCAGCAGAAGAAAGAAACTACTGGTTTGGAACAACTTGAGGGTGAGTAAATGATGGCAGAATTTTCATTTTGGGGTGAACCATCCCTTTAAGCAGCACAACTGTTTTCAACATAATGATAATAACAATAAATGTTTCTTGAGCACCAAATCAGCATATTAGAATGATTTATGGAGGATGTGGCACTGAAGACTTGAGTAATGGCTGCTGAAAATTAAGCTTTGCCATCAAAAAAATTAAATAAAATATAACATTACAAACATCTCACTTACCACAGACGTTTGAACAGAAATAGACAAATCAAATGTTATCTTTAGTATATAATATATAACACTGAGACAATTTTATCATCAACTGTTAAGCAAATCTCTCAGTAACTCTTGAGTTAGAGGCATGTACTTACGGCGAACTTCCAGTTTGCATTCTACTACGTCTTCTCCGCTGGAGTTGATCGCCTTACACATGTACACACCTCCATCAAACGGACACGGCTTACGGATCTCCAGAGTCAGCACACCCTGATTGCTGAACATGCGGTACTTGGCCTCATTTGTAATGTCCATCTTGTTTTTGTACCATGTGATTTTAGGCTGCACAAAACATTGAGATGGATTTAGAAATTGACTGTCCTGACAATTTTCTTACATAAACATTTATACGATAGATACAATTTTTTTTCCTCAGAGCCTGTTAATATCTGGGTTAAGATACTAGCTTGTGATATATTAAGCCATTAAATATTTCATGAGAAGGGTGATATGATTTTTTTTTGTAATTGCACAAAAAAACTGCTCAAAAATAGACTAATCTAAACTCTTAAAAGTGCCAGCTGTTTGGACCTTTTCTGTTTCAGCATGACAATATCCCTATGAACAAAGTGAGGACCTTTGGGATGAATTGTAATGCTGACTGTGAAGCAGACCCCATCAGTGACCTCGCTGATGCTCTTGTGTCTGAATGAGACCAAAAGCCTACAATTACAATCCTCAGCATAGTGGAAAGTATGGAAGCCTACTTAAAGGGATAGTGATAGAAAGGGATAGGGATAGATACCCAAAAATGAAAAATTCTGTCATTAATTACTCACCCTCATGTCGTTCCAAACCCATAAGACATTTCGTTCATCTTCAGAACACAAATTAAGATATTTTTGATGAAATCCATGAGCTTTCTGACCCTGCATAGACAGCAATGTAACTGACACATTCAAGGCCCAGAAAGGTAGTAAGGACATGATTACATTTCATGTTCAAGGCCCAAAAACGTAGTAAGGGCATCTTTACATGTGACATCAGTGGTTCAACCTTATTTTATGAAGCTACGAGAATAGTTTTTGTGTGCAATGAACAAAAGTGTTCTGTGTTTCTTAGCTTCATAAAATTACGGATGAACCACTGATGTCACATGGACTATTTTAATGATGCCCTACGTTTCTGGGCCCTGAACACGGTAGTTCCGTTGCTTTCTATGGAGGGTCAGAAAGCTCTCGGATTTCTTCAGAAACATCTTAATTTGTGTTTGTGTCTTACGGGTTTGGAATGACATTTTTATTTTTATGTGAACTGTCCCTTTAATTGTGATCTTTTTTATCTTACAATTTAGACTTTTATTCTCTAGAATTGCTGAACAAGCATAAATGACTGATGTTTCGGTGTTTCATATATTTGGACCTACAGTACAGTGCATGACCTTTGCTAATTGAGGTCACATGTGCTCACCTTTGGGATGCCTCTTACGGAGCAGCTGAGTGTAGCATTGTATCCAGCAATAACTGAGCGACTCACGAGAGGATGTGTGAACTTGGGGGCCTCAGAAAAATCATGCTCTTTGTAGGAAAGAGGCTTGTACACAATGCCTGTAAAGAAAACCAAAACATACATCAGGAGATCAGGGGAGCCACATGGGAATTAGAAAAACTTTAAATGACACAGCCTAACCACTTCATACTTACAGAAGTGTTCTTGCTATCTACACTGCATACCAGTGAGCAGGCATGAGAATCTAGAATTTGGACACAAACAGTCACCTGTTTTCTGGATGTAGGCGCTGTCTTTGGAGAGGCAAGGCTCTGGACTCAGACCCACCATATTCATGGCATACACACGAAACACGTACTCATTCCCCATGATCAGGTCTGAGACCACACAGTTAGTGCGCCGATACTGCTCGTACACGTTGTACCATTCCTGCACAGAAGAGAAAAACCACACACACCTAGTCATATATTGTGTACCTACATATATTGACACATTTTAGTCTGATTAAAAGCCGTATCTGTTCTCCTCTGAAACTGACAAAACCATAGCTGTTGTCTGAAAAATATTAAAATATCCATAAAATAATATATTTTATATATACATACTACAGTTCAAATATTTTGGCTCAGTAATCTTTTTTTTTTTTAGAAAGACATTAATATTTTTGTTCAGCAGGATGCGTTAAATTGATCACTATTTAAAGTAAAAACATTTAATATGAAATTAAATGAAAGATCATGTGACACTGAAAACTGGAGCACTGGCTGCTGAAAATTCATTGTTGCCATCACAGAAATAAATTACATTTGAATATATATTAAAATAGTAAAGAGTAATTTTTTTAATTGTAATAATGTTTGACATTATGACTATTTTACTGTATTTTTGATTAAATTATTGTTTTGGTAAGCATAAGT